TTAGGGAATTGCCTGGTAGTTAGAAACTAGGCCCCAAAGACTCAAAGCCATAACTAAAAATGGCCCTCGGTCGTGTCCCAGTTATCACCATGCATGTGTTTTTATTTTCCATTGGCACAAACGCAGAGATGTTACTGCTATCGAAGAACATCAACGACTACCACTTTGTATCGCAAGGAAAAACAACGATCCCCGGATTGGACGATGGGGAGGAATTGCTTGCTACAGACGTAAGTGCATGCTTTAATATGACAAGCAAAACCCATCAAGCTAAAGATGTGGATAAATCCTGCATTGAACGGGAATCAATCGTTTTCACGTATTTATCATTTGTTTTGGTGTTTTATTACTTCATTCATTAATTTGTGTATCACTCTGCCATCATCCTCTGTCGTTTCAGCTCAACAACTTCTGCTGCTATTCGTGATTCAATGATGAATAATCTGTATACGAATTCTCATGGCTTGACGTCATTGGGACGCTGAAAATTCTTACGCAACTACTGATATTTTGAAATGCTAGAGTGGAATCCGATTGAAAATAGATTCGTCAGCGAGCTGAGGATAGATGCTGTGAAAACAACTATAAATAAAATACTAGAGTGAAATAATATTTTTTGGAAATCACAGGGCATGTTTCAGTGGTTGTACATCTATCTGACTAGCGTTGGACTATTTTCTGTCGTTTGAATTGAAATACAGATTGTTCATATGAATTCATAAAAAGCATATTTGCAGCTAGGTGGACACGCGCTGTGAGGAGGCCTTCTCTATTTTCTTTTTCTATCATCTTTCTCTATTCTTTTGTAGCCTATCTATAGCTGTCTGTCTCCGACTATCGCCAATTTTCATTTTCAATTTACTGACATTTATTATTTATCACATATCAATCTTCTCCTTCACTGCTAATACCAACAAAGCGCAACAAGGCAGTGATAACAGTAGAACGGATTATGTTGTTATATTCCCGCTTCTCCACTGGTAGAACAGAAATTATGACACTTACAAATTTTTCCATGATTTGCATTTTACTGGATTGATTATCATGGAAAATTTGGTTGATAAAATGATCAAAGTACGAATCAGATCAAATGCCACACAGAAATGTGCCTCCTGTCAAACCGCATCGGGGACTATTACTACATTAGCCAGGGTAAGACAAGAATACCGGGAGTCAACGATGCCTCAGAGATGGAGGATACGGACGTAAGTCCCTATCATGTCAAAAAAGCATGTTTCCTCGATCCGATACTTGAGTCACGAAATTTTCAAAAAATAGCTGCACCATCTGATAGCCAGAAAATTTACCATGGAAATGAGTATAAACACGATATCAATTGATCCCTTACTTCCCGAGATATCGAGAGATGTCGACGTGACAGCGACGCCGTCAAAAAAACGTTTTTTCAAATATCTCGGGAAGTATTAAAGCTACATCGACGAGTGATAAGTCAAATCTATCGGAAATTTTCTCAAGTTTTCAATGGTGCTGTCAAAATAATTTTTTTTTTCGTACCGTTCGAAGATATTTACGAAACTATACTCAATTGTTGGACAACACTGGTATTCTCTGATGTAATGATATCTAATAATTAATGAATGAGTC